GGGTCGTATGGGATGTAGGACCCGATGGGATTCGCATAAGAGCCTCATAGGCTCCAATGGTACCCGTCTACGGTTACTACTACGGCGACGGCCCTACTCTGACCACTCGTGCTACTACTCTTGCTACTACGACTACTTCTACTACTACTACTACCACTACTTCTACTACTACTACCACCACCACTACTACTACTACTACTACAACTACTACTACTACTACTACTACTACTACTACTACTACTACTACTACTACTACCACTACTACCACTACTACTACGACTACTACTACTACTACTACTACTACTACTACTACTACTACTACTACTACTACTACTACTACTACGACTACTACTACTCTACTACTACTACTACTACTACTACTACTACTACGACTACTACTACTACTACTACTACTACTACTACTACTATTACGACTGCTAGTACTGCGATTATATTGCTACTCTACTACTACTACTGCACTACTACTACTGCTACTTCTTCTCTACTCTACTGCTACACTACGCCTAACTACTACTACTACTACTACTACTACTACTACTACTACTACTACTACTACTACTACTACTACTTTGACTACTGCGACTACTACGACTACTATGACCACTACGACTACTACGACCATTACTAGTACTACTACTACTACTATCACTATTACCACTACTACTAGTACGACTACTACGATTCCTGCTACTACTACTACTACTACTACTACTGCCGCTACTACTACTACTACTACTACTGTTACTTTCACTACTACTACGACTACTACTACTACTACTACTACTACTACTACTACTACTACTGCTACTCCTGCTGCTGCTAGTAGTACTTTTACTACTACGACGACGTCGAAAACGACGACGACGACGGCGACTACTACTACTACGACTACTACGACTACGATTGCTACTCGTATTCTGTCTACCCCCACGTCTCCTAGTTCTACGAGCACTACTCCTACCACTCCTCCTGCTCTCATTTTTCTTGATAGTATCACTTTTGCGATTGCTTCTTTTACTTCTAGTACAACAACCAAGATTACTAATACTACGACGAGTACTACTTCTATCACTACTACCACTGCCACTACCACTACCAGAACCATTTCGACCACCACTACTATTACTTCTATTACTACTACTACTACTACTACTACTACTACCACCACTACTACTACTACTACTACTACTACTACTACTACTACCACTACCACTACCACTACCACTACCACCACCACTACTACTACGACTACTACTACTACTACTACTACGACTACGACCGCGAGTACTGCGACTACTACTACTACTACTACTAGTACTACTGCTACTACGACTACTACTACTACTACTACTACTACTACTACTACTACTACTACTACTATTACTACTGAAAGCCACTACTACTACTACTACTACTACGAGCATTCGTATTTTTATTATTACTCCTACTACTATTATCATAATAACTACTACTACTACTACTACTATCACTATTATTATTACTACTACTACTACTACTACTGCTACTACTACGACTACTACTACTACTACCACTACTACTACTACTACTACTACTACTACTACTATTACGACGACGACGGCTACTACTACTATTACTACTACTACTACTACTACTACGACTACTACTACTACTACTACTACTACTACTACTACTACTACTACTACTACTACTACACTTGCGACTACGACTACGAATACGACGGCTACGACGACTTCTATAACCACGACGACTACTACTACCCTATAGGATCAACCCCGTAGGGATTTCATCGGATTCCTTGAAATTCTGGAGGATCTGTTGTAGAGATCTAAAGGATCCTCCAGGGATGCTATATCATCCCCTGCGGATTTTACAGGACCCCATAGGGATTCAATTGCATCCCCGAAGGTTTCTACAGCATCCCCCAAGGATCCTACAGGAGTCCCGAGGGAGTCGACAGGACCCCCTGTACGATACCGAAGGAGTCTGCAGCTCCGAGGCCGGCTTGGTGGAGCGCGCATATTTTGCGTTCGTGGGAATATGTGGGCTGCCCCAAGGGGCCCGAAGGACCCCAGACGATTTCCAACGGCTTCATGTGGATCCCTATGCTGGCCGTGTGGCGCGTAGCGTTGCGCTGCGTGGCGTTGCATTGGGGGGGGGAGCGCAGGGTACACCAGTGGACGGTTTCACTACAGGGAGCGAAGCAGCGAATTGGTGTACTTGGTGTTGGTACACCAGCTAGTTGATTTGCCTTGTTGTTGTGGCTGTTGTTGTTGAATTCGCCTCCAAAAAAATATTGTTGATCTCCGAATGCGGTTCCGCGCGCTCTCGTCTTGACGCCGGCTGCATTTTCTCTGAAAACGAGGCTCCCGCTCGAGCGTTGGTTTGGGCCTACATGTGGGCCCTTGGAGTCCCAGCTACGACAACAACGGCTCCCGCTCGATATATTTTCATAATTTGCCCCGAGACACCCTGGCCAGAGAGGCTCCCGAACTCAGGAACGGCGCTCTCGCTCTCGCTCAGAACCTCAGCCCTCACACAAGCCCAAGAAACCCCGCGCCTTACGCCCCCTCGGCTCTTCTTCCTGACCTCCAGGAGATACTCTGCACGAACCTCCCTCTGCATGCGCACCTGGCACAGAGTCCCTCCAGACACCTCCGCAGCTAATCGCGGCGCCCTGAAGCGGCTAGTGCGAACACTTTTGACAAGATTGCGGAAAGACATTTGGAACAGCCTTTGGGTGAAGTCCTCCTGCCAGGCGTTGTGGACACGGGCCCCGCCGCACCCTCGCGCGCGTGCCCACCCGCGCGCGCGCGCGCCCGTCGTCCGCTTGCCGTCGTGTGTTGCGGCTGCCCTCCACCTTGGTTGGCCGTGTACATGTTGGTGGGTCCAGCCCGGGGGCGGCCTTTCGGTCCACGCATCATCCTCACCTCACAGCATACCAAGGCTAGCGGAGCGCAGCGAGCTTCAAGTCTTTGACGTGTGCATGTTTATATATACATGTATACAAGTGTGTGCGTATGCAGACATGTATGTATGCATGCATGCATGATTGCATGCATGATTGTATGTATGATATGTATGTGTATGTGTATGTATGTGTGTATGTATGCACGCATGTATGAATGTCTATTTGTGATACATGCATGCATGTATGATTGTATGTATGTATGTATGTATGTATGTATGTATGTATGTATGTATGTGTGTGTATGTATGTATGTATGTATGTATGTATGTATGCACACATGCATATATGTATGTACACATTTATGGAGGAATGTAGTTATTGCATGTATGTGCACCGATGCGTGTTTATTGCAACACGTAGAGTGGTGTGCTACAAACATTACTTCACAGACATAGCACCGCATACATCGCACAACGTAGACTGTCCCACATATGATGCAAGACATAGGCTGCGCCATATGCATCGTACAACACATGTTGCTGATCATGCGCTGTTTGAAGTCCATGCTTGCTGACAAATCAGGGCAGGTGTTAGCGAGCGTTGCTCTTTTCGACATAGCCTACCGCGCCAACAACCTGCTTCTGCATCTAGTACGCGCGGGCAGCCGATGAGGGTTGGTCTTCGGTGCGTTGAGCAGGCTTCAGGCCGAGGTGGGTCGCACGCGATCCCTGGAATCCAGCAGAGCGACTCAACCCACTCTTCTGAGGTACCAGATCACGAGAGCTTTGTGTACCCTCGCAATTCCGTCGCTGGAGTCGGTTTGCGTCTGGAAATCTATGAGGTAGCACCAACTTGCCCTCGAATGGCCTCGGTCTAGAGTCGATCAGCGTCGGTTTGCAAGAGCCAACAATCTGATATGTCATGGGAACCTTTCGCCACTGGTGGGAGCTCAGCTCCTCGGTCGCTGATGCCTCACCCTTTGCAGCCCGATGGCCCCTGTACGATGGGGGCCGGCGGGTGTCCTGGCCACGGGAGGGATCGGGTATTTGTGTGGGTTTGCAGAGGCGGAGAAGGCAGCGCGGCGGAGGAGGAGGAGGATGAGAAGGAATAAGGAGGAGGAGGAGCAGGAGGAGGAGGAGGAGGAGAGGAGGAGGAGGAATAACGCGGAGGATGATGATGATGAGGAGGAGGAGGAGGAGAGGAGGAGGATACGGAGGAGTAGGAGGATAAGGAGGAGGAGGAGGATAAGGGGGAGGAGAAGGATAAGGAGGAGGAGGAAAGGAGGAGGAGGAGGAGAGGAGGAGAGGAGAGGGCAACGCGGCGGCGGCGGAGGAGGAAGAGGAGGAACACTGACGGCGCCGCCCAGCCAAGCAGCCAGGCAGGCGCAGCATGGGGCGGATTGCCGTGGGCCTGACCGTGCGCCCCCTTGTCCTGCCTGCTGGCCCGCCTCTGCTTTCTCGTCTCCTCGGCAGCCATGAGGAGGACGCAGAGGAGGAGGAGGACGAGGACGAGGACGAGGACGAGGAGGAGAAGAGGAGGAGGACGAGGAGGAGGAGAAGAGGAGGAGGAGGTGGGACGAGGAGGAGGAGAAGAGGATGAGGAGGAGGAGGAGGAGGAGAGGGACGAGGAGGAGGAGGAGGACGAGGAGGAGAAGAGGAGGAAAAGAGGAGAAGAGGAGAAGTGGAGGAGCATCGAAGCGCAGGAAGTGCGAGGATCGAGATCTTGGAGCGTCGCTGGCCCTTCTGGGGCCTCCTGGAGCGCCCTCGTCCGCAAGGCCTGGCGTTCCCAACCCGCGTGGGGGCAGCTCCGTTCCCTCCTCCGCCTCTCTCCTTCCTCCACGGACCGCCCTCATCACGCCTCGCTGTCCCTCCTGCTCCTGCCCCATGTTTCTCCTCCTCCCCCTTCCTCTCCTCCTCGCACCCGAGCCCCTCACGCGGAGGCCCCGCCAGGCCGTGAGCGCCAGCAGGACCCCCGCAGACCTCGGTCCTCCTCGAGCCTCCGACTCCGCTCCTCCTCCTGGGGCCGCTGCCTCCCGCGCCCGCCCATCCCGCTGCCGGCCGCCGCGGAGGCGAGACTCGTGCGAGCCGGCGCTGGCGCCGCTTCCGGCGCCGTCTCCGCCGCAGCGTGCCCTGGGAGTGGGGAGCGTGCCCTGTCAAGCAGTGGCGAAGCGTCCCCGCTCGCCTATTAGCCTCACCGAACCATGTTCTGAGAACCTTTTCTGTGGTTCCCACGAAATGTGCTTAGCACAGTTCTGGCGGAGACTGTCCTGTTTGAACACATCGGAATTATGTTCTGAGAACATTGCTTTTGTGATTAAAACATTTGTGGCTTCTAAGAACATTTCGTGGTAGGACTATAGGAATGCCGGGACGGCCGGTCCCTGCACAACCTTGGGTGCGGGCCCCATATTTCCGGCGTCTGTCGATTGCACTGTCTCGCAAGCAGAGTCGGACTTGAACGGTGTTTTTGGTGATTCCGTGGGCCGTGTTCGCTTCGACTCGAGACAAAAAAAGCGAGGGAGAACGAACAAAACAAGACGAAAACGGAAGACACCGTGTAGGTTCAGCCCCGCTCACGAGCGCGAAGGAAGCCCCGTGGCACGGAGGGGGCGGCAGGGAGGCGGAGGGCGGGGGAGTGGAGGGGGGGCGCGGGGAGGCGGGCGCCCGAGCGCGGCGCCGTGGTTTCACGAGTTCAGCTCGGGCGCCCCAGGCCGCTCGGCCAATGCCCCCAGCGTCGTCCTCCTCCCCCCCCTCCTGCTCCTCCTCCTCCTCCTCCTCCTCCTCCTCCTCCCCCTCCTCCTCCTCCTCCCCCTCCTCCTCCTCCTCCTCCTCCTCCTCCTCCTCCTCCTCCCCCCTCGTCCTCCTCCTCCTCCTCCTCCTCTTTCTCCCCCTCCCCTCCTCCTCCTCCTCCCTCCCCCCCTCCTCATCCTCCTCGTCCTCCTCCTCCTCCTCCCTCGTCCTCCTCCTCCTCCTCCCCCCCCCTCCTCCTCCTCCTCCTCCTCCCTCCTCCTCCTCCTCCTCCTCCTCCTTCCCGCGAACCCTGCCGGGGTCCCCCGGGTCGTCGACTGCACCGCGGCGGCAGCGGCGTGCGCGCTCGGAAGGGGCCGCCCCGCTGCCCCCGAGAAGAAGCTGCGCGCAGAGGGGGTCCCTCCCGGTTCAGAGGTCCCATAGGCTACAGTCGAGTTTGATTCGTAGGTCGACCCTGTCCAAACAAGGGTACCCTTGTGTCCTGTGTTTCGCGACCCATGCCCTCTACGTTCCACTGGCAGTGTGGCCATCGGAAGAGTCTTGTGTCCTCTCGCGTGTCCTCTCCAATCCACCCCGACTGTAGGGCCACCACGAGAGTGCGAAGTCAGTCGCTCTTCGCGGTCTGGGCACAGAGGGGGTCCCTCCTGGCCCAGAGGTCCTATAGGCCAGGGCTACCACGAGGGTGCGAAGTCAGTCGCTCTTCGCAGTCTGGGCACGGAGGGGGCCCCTCCTGGCCCAGAGGTCCTATAGGCCAGGGCCACACGAGGGTGCGAAGTCAGTCGCCCTTCGCGGTGTGGGCGATCTCAGAGCGAGAGCGCCAAGAGGATCGCGCTCCGCGGAGCGCGGAGCGCGAAGACAGTTGCCCCAGGAGTGTTGTGACCGAGCCCTGCAACAAAATACTGGACACAGCGATTGACAGCATCTTCTCCGCGTCTGAGGGCCGTTTCCGGACCCATGGGACCGACATAGCACAACAGATGATGAAAGCCGGGCCCTTTGGTCCCCAGGGGGCGGTGGACATGATACACGTGTGCCGTTGCCCAAATACATCCACATCCACCGTCCCTCGAGGTCCCCCAAAGATCGAACCTCGAGGCGGTGGTCACGGAGAACTCATCGCCTCGGAGGAGGTGTCCGCCTCGTGGCCCTCGGTGCGCAGTTGCTGCTCTGTCCGTTGGGGGGCAAGCCACGGCGGGTCGCAGCTCGAGAAGCCCGCCAGGGCGGGCCCGGGCGGGCGCCCGCCGGGAGCGTCGCGCCCCCGTCTTCTGAGCAGGACAAGGTAGCGTTACGAGTGAACACAAAACTCGGGCTGGACGAAAGGAGGAATTGGTTCGATGTCTGTTCATGGGAGCCTTGGTCGGCGACATTGAAATCAGTTTTTCCTGCATGTGGACAGCGTGGGGCCTCATTTGGCCCATCCTCATGTTCCTCCTCTCCCCTCCCGTTCCCCCTCCCCCTCTTCGTTCTCCTAGCCCCCACGAGGCCAATCCAAGTCTGGTCCAAATCTGGTCCAAATGTGTTCCAAATCCGGTCCAAATCAGGCCCAAATTGGACAGTGCCGGGGGGCACGCAGGCTCCCATGGAACGGATACCAAAAAGGTAGCGTTATGAGTGAACACAGAACTCGGGCTGGACGAAAGGGGGGGATTGGGGAAGGGGGATTACGAAATCTGTTGCATGCAGCTGGTTTCGGCCCCACCGAGGGGCCCATTCCTCGATGCATGGCCGCCTCTGCTCCGGGAGGCGCCGGGAAATCAGCTTGGTGAGCCGATTTTCAGCCCCCCCCTTTGCTATCCCCCCTTTCGCCCGACCCGAAACGCCGGTAGAATGAATATAAACACCCGGTTTCTGTATTCATTGATTCATCCATTGTTTCATGAATGTATTCGGTCATGCATTCATTGGTTGGTATAGTCGTTCGTTTGATTGTCGCATTCGTCAGTCGGTTTGTGTAGAGTTCGCTCTTGAATGATTAGCGGCACGGATAATGCCGACAACAGTAACACGGTAATCATCTATGCTCAAGTTTTTTAGCGGCGGAGTCCTTGGGCACTGCATGCTTCCTGGCCCGGCCGCCGCGGTGCAGAGGGTCCCAGGTGGGGCCAATCTCAAGGTGGGGCTCTGGAGGGGGGCCGAGCTCTTCGCACAGTACCTCGCCTTCTCGCACGGCGTGCCCGCCTGCCCTGACTGCAGGCTCTCTTGCCCCGTGGCGAATCTCATGTGTCCGAGCTTTCCTGTGGCCAACCTGACTTGCCCCGCCCCGGTGGTGCAGCTCTCGTGTCCCCCGCTGCCCGTGCTCAACGTCTCGTGCCCCGCCGTGTACCCCTTGCAGGCCGAGGGCGACGTCCTCGGCTTCGACGCGGCGTCGCTGGCCGTCGGGGGCGTCACGGGGGTGTTGGGGGCAGCCGCCTCCAGTCCGAGCAGGTGCCGTCGGCGGCGGCGCACGGGCGCCGAGGCGGAGGGGGACCTGGGCGAGCTCGCGAGGGCTCAAGTGGCGCAGGTGAGGCGACGCCCTCTACTCCGCCAGGCGTGAGATGGCGGCGCCTGGAGATTGGTTGCTGATCAGGTACGATGTGCCCGGTCCTGAGTTTTTTTTTTTTTTTTTTTTTTTTTTTTTTTCACGAGATGGTGGTGACTGGCGTCTCTGCCGCGGAGCCGTCCCTGCTCGCGACGTTCACGAATGACGGCGACCACTACGCCGAGGACGTCAGCCAGCAGAACGATGACATCGCGGAGGTGAAGTGGCTCGCGCGGCCTGGCGACGCACCGCCAGGCGTCGACCCTCGCAGGATCTACAGGTTTCAGAACCCGCCCGACGCCGCCGCGCTGGAGCAGCTCAAACGCGACGGAGCCCTCATGGTGGGGGGCCACGCTGGTCAGGTCGTGCCAGCAGCCGCGGGGGCTGCCCCCCAGGCGGCGGCTGGGGCGGGCGCTGCGGGGGCGGGGGCCGCCCGCGGCCCAGGCATCGCGGGCGTGGTCGGGCGCGCAGGCGCAGCGGCGCCTCCCGCCCCCCCACCCCAGGCTCGGCGTGGGTCGCCGTGGAGGACCACCGCGGCTACGCGCGGGGGCAGGAGTTCCCCGACCCCCTCCCCGACGGCTCCGCGATCCCCGGGGACTGCGCTGTGGTGGAGCTCCCAGTGGGCAAGATCGCGGCCCGCCTCGTCGCCCGCCGCGACCTCGAGAGCTACGTGGTCGACGATATGAGGGCCATGCCCGCGAAGTTCAACGGCGAGGGAGTGCGCGGGCGGCCCGTCGCCGAGGCCGTGGACAACCAGGTGCCGGATGAGCCAGAGGGCGGGGTCCTGCTACAGGGGTCTCGCACCGCGCTGCCGCCTGCGCGCTCATGGTCAGAGAAAAGCGCCATGAGACAGATGTTGCCTTTTGGATAGGATCCGGGAGGGGGGGGGCCTGGGATGCTGTTTTTGGCCCCCGCGTGCTCCAGATGGATATGTGATCTCGACCGTAGGCGCCGTTGGCTCGGAGTGGTAAATTAGGGGTGTGAGCTCGGGCGTAGGCGTGCGAACTCGAACGCAAGTGGTTTGGGCGGTCCTGTACTTTTGTATATATCTTGGATTGTTCTCACTCCATGTAGAGCAGTGCGCGAGCATCACGAAAAGAAAACAAACTCACGACACAGTGCAATGTCATAACACAGGAAACATGAAATAAACAAAATAAACATATAACAATACTACTCATGCTCCCCCTTCTCCGACCCTCTGCTGTTTCTTTTTGCCCCCCCCCCCCCCCCCATTCCTCTCATCTCCTCCTCCTTCTCCCCCCTCGCCCCTTCCCAGCAAGAAGAAAGAAAACGGGGGGGGGGTAATGAGGAAGAATACACGAGGAAGAGGAGTAGGATAAGGAGGAGGAGGGTGAGGATGAGGAGCGGAAGGAACAGAAAGAGGACAGAAGCAGGAGCAGGAAGGGAAGGTGCAGGAGACAGATGGCCCTGAGATGGAGATTGCGTCGCCGCCCTGGCCCAAGAAGGTTTCAGGTGGGGGCGTGAACCCGAGGAGGCCACGAGCCTCCCATTTAGCTGGTTGTCCAGTCGGCACCATGGCGGGGAAGTCGGCGGCGGCCAAGGGCGCCCCCAAAGTGCTGAAGGTCCTGAAGGATCACTTGATGGCCAACCCCGAGGAGGCGGCGGGCCTCTTGGCGGCTGTGCAATCGGGGGAGTCCAGCGCGAAGAAGCAGGGGGAGTCTGGAGACACCTTGACTTCGCTCATGACGTTGGCCAGGATGAGCCCCGATGAGTTGATCAGGATGCTGAACCGGTGGCCGCCGAACATGACGGAGCACATGTGGAAGAAGGCGCGCGCCGCGAAGTACGCTGACCACGAGAAAGACGACAAGGTCATCCAGAAGGCTTTCGGCGTGATGACGGGCGAGGATATGCAGGCCAAAACGCCGACTCGCAGCAGGGCGGTGAACGTGGACATCTACACCGCAAGGAGGGCGACGTTCGCCACTCAGCCGATGCTCGCGCTGAATCCCGACTTCACAATCAACTGCGACAAGCGCGGCCCGTGCACGCTGGCGGGCCCCGTGCAGCGCGAGGGCGAGGACGCGCGCCAGTTCACCAAGCTGCTCTTTCGCCACCTCAACGCGATGGTGTCGCACGGACGGAAAAGGGAGGAGGAGGAGAGGAGAGGGGATGGGTTTAGGAAGCAAGTGAATGGGAATCAGGAGGAGGAGGAGGAGGAGGAGGAGGAGGAGGAGGAGGAGGGGGAGGAGGGGCAACCACACCTTTTTGGTTTTCTGGCGCTCCAAGACGGTGCAAGAGGCCCCCGAGCCGCCCCGAGACGGCCCAAGAGACTTCCCAGAGGTCCCCAAGACGGCCCAAGAGGGCCCCAAGACGGCCCAAGAGGCGCCCACGACGGCCCAAGAGGGCCCCGAGACAGGGGGCCCAGAGGGGGGGGGCCACGAACCGAGAGCTTGGGCGTTCCGGCCGCCCCAAGAGGCCGCCAGGAGATCCCGAAAGGCTTCCAAGAGGCCCCGAGTGGCCCCCAGGAGCCTTCCCAAGAGGCCCCAGGAGATCCCCAAGAGGCCCCAGAAAGGCCCCCCAAGAGGCCTCGAACCAGCCTCCAGGAGACCCCCGAGAGGCCAACCACGAGATCCCAGCGAGCGCCCAGTGGGCCGCGTACCGCATGCCCACTACCCAGGCACGGTGGCGGGTTATCTACTTAGTAGATAACCCGCATTTGCGTTCCGTCCTCACCCTCGACCTCGCCCGTGCATCAGCATGTTCTCCCCCCTCTCCCCTTCCCCCCCCCCGTCCTCTCAGGCGGGCCCCCCGAGCAAAATCACGCGCGTCGAGGGCGACGCGTACATCGCCGACAACTTTGACCACGAGCGCGCCGACGTCACCAACAAGACGAACGACTTCAAGAAGAACTGCCTCGACCTCATCGGCGAGGCGGCGATCGGGCCCTGCAGCATCCAGAAGACGATCCTCAAGCAGGCGGGCATCGTGCGCAAGGTTGAGGACGTCGACCAGAAGCTCGCGGAGATGGCTGCGACCCAGGCCGCGGAGAAGGGTGCCAGTGGTGCCGCCTCGTCAGCGTCGGGACTGAAGCCGAAGAGGGCCATCAAGCGCACGGCCAGCGAGGTCTCCGTGCCAGACGAGCTCAAGTCGTGAGCTCAGGTGATACCGAGCCCTCTTCGAGCCGCCACTCTGGGGAGTAGGTAGGAGAAGTAGGGTTGGACGAGGGGGGGGGGGGGGGCTGGGGGATGAGGAGGGCGAGGAGGGGGATGGGGAAGCCCCATCCTGTCCCATGCCTCCTCCTGGCCACCGTCGCCCCCCCCTGGCCACCGTCGCCCTCCGCGCGCCCACTCATCGTCCTGGCCCGCCCCGCAAACGGAGTGCGAGTAGCCATCCGCGCAGGATCGACTCGCCAGCCTCGGAGCGACAAGGCAGGTGCGACGCGCCTGTCTTGTGGAAATGGGGTCCGCCTGCTTACTTTCGAACTCCTCCTCATCCCCCCCTCTTCTCCTCCGCGTTCTCCTCCCATCTCCCCCCTGCTCCCCATGGTCCTCTCCTACTCGTCCCCCAGGCCCCCCATTCCTTCCCCGTCCGCTCATCCTCCACCTCCGTATCATTATCCGCGTCAGGCTGCACCGCTGCCGATTGACGGGCTTAGGGGGTGATGTGAAGGGCGAGGGCGGATAAAAGGGAGGAGGAGGGGGAGGGGGGGGAGGAGGGGGAGGGGGGGGGAGGGAGAGGAGGAGGAAGATTGAGGTAGGAGGAGAGGAGGAGAGGGCGAAGGAGGGGGCGCAGGATGAGGATCAGGGGGCGAAGTGGGAAAGGAGGAGGCGAGGGCGAGGAGGGGGGGGATGAGTACAAATTGGAGGGTTGCGAGGAGGATGAGGATGGGCAATGGGGAGGAGGAGGAGGAGGAGGAGGAGGAGGAGGAGGAGGAGGAGGAGGAGGAGGAGAAGGGGGAGGAGGAGGAGGGGGAGGAGGAGGAGGGGTGAAAAAGGAGAGAAGCGGAAGGATGAGAGGAGTAAGGAGGAGGCAATGTGAGTAATGAGTAGCTACCCGTGTCTCGCGATGTACACCGCTCAAGCGTAGCCCGAGGCTGGCACCCCCTCTTCTGCGCGTGCGCCGCTGCGGCTTGCATGGGCGCGGACGAGCCTGCCCCGCCCCTTGCGGCGGAGCAGGGCGGGCTCCAGGAGGCGAAGCGCCACAGCTTCATCCGCCCGGCGCCGAACCGTGGCAAGCGCCGCGACGACGGGGCGCCAGTTAAGCTCTTGCACGGCGTGACGTTGGAGCCCATCGACCTCGAC